ACCACCTGAGTCCTTTTGCCTTCCCCCTTTCCCCCCACCCCCCCACCCACCACCACCCTCTCCCTTACCATTACCCTTCCTCCCACCCTACCTACCCTCCACCCTACCCCAACTCCCTTACCCCCTACCCTCCGGCGGTACCACGCCACCCTTCCACTCGTTCTATCTTCCACCACCGTCACTTCTCCCTTCCCCCTCCCTTCCCCCCCTTCACTCCCGTTCCCTCTCTTCCCTACCCTTCCACCCATTTACTCCGTGTACTTGCTGCTCTTTCTATCTCCCATTTCTCCTCACTTCCCTTCATTTCTCTCCCTTTCCCTCCTTCCCCTACTCTCCCATCCCTTCCCTCCCTATCTCCCCTTGCCGCTCGTTCTATCTCCCACCAACACCCTTCTCCCTTCCTCCCCTACCTTCATTTTCTTTTCCTCCTTTTCTCTCTATCCCCTGCCCTTATTTTCCTTAACACCCTCCCCCCTTGCCCTTAACACCCTCCCCTTGCCCTTAACAACCTCCCCTTGCCCTTAACAACCTCCCCTTGCCCTTAACACCCTCCCCTTGCCCTTAACAACCTCCCCTTGCCCTTAACACCCCCCCTTGCCCTTAACACCCTCCCCTTGCCCTTAACACCCTCCCCTTGCCCTTAACAACCTCCCCTTGCTCTTAACAACCTCCCCTTGCCCTTAACAACCTCCCCTTGCCCTTAACACCCTCCCCTTGCCCTTAACCCTCTCCCCTTGCCCTTAACCCTCTCCCCTTCCCCCCTCTTACGTGAGCTGCGCCATCCTACTGACTAACCCTTTTGGTCAACTACTTACGCGTTTGGGCTTACAAAATATGCACACGCACGCACACACACGGCACTCTTTCTCGCCCCCTTCCTCCCTTCCCCCTCGCTCCCTCTTTTAAGTCCATTCTTCATTTTCTCGTTTTCTTATGTTGTTCTTTTTATTCTTATTTCATAATCTATTTTTTTTTTTTTTTTACTCTATCGCTTCACATTTCCGGTGTCATTTCGCTTCCTAACATCTTTCATCTCTTTGTCTCTCTGTCTCTATCTCTGTCTCTATCTCTGTCTCTATCTCTGTCTCTATCTCTGTCTCTATCTCTGTCTCTATCTCTGTCTCTATCTCTGTCTCTATCTCTGTCTCTCTCTCTCTGAAAAGTAAAAACAAACAAACAAACAATATTTCCCATTCACAAAGTGTCAGTCACGCTTCCCCCCTCTCCCCCCTCACCTTGCCACCAGCAGCCGCCCTTACCCTACAGCCGGGCCCCTCCATACACCCTCCTTCCCTCACTTAAAACTCGGTGTCGATACCCTACCCCAATCCTCGCTATCTCTTCTTCCCTAACCACCAAAACGAGATCTCCCCCCCCCCCCCCCGTTATGACCATACCCTCTCAACCCAAACATGACTCTGACATGTTCGGACACCACGCTGACTTCAAGCACAGGCGAACCTGCCCTCAAGTTTCCCACCTCAGTTACGCAAACATTCTTTATCAATGAACAGACACAGACACACACACACATATACAATAATTTCCGATACAATTATAGCGACAGCTTCTTCAACGATAAAAAAAGAGGTTCGAGCGGACAATGACGTTGAGAATGTTCCCCGAGTCCTCGCCGTAGGCCGTTCCTCCAGCGCCCGCGGGCCCCCACGCGTAGCGGCGAAGGAGCGGTGGCATGATAATCTTCTACCCACAGGTCCTCGACCCGCTACCAGCCCCCAGGTAATGCTGTCGTAGTCACCCTTGGCACGGCACTGGGAAGGTTCTGGGCGGCATGCATTACATCCGCACAATGCCTTCACAACAATTTGGAATATGTAGCATGTCTTGTTCCGTCTTCCGAGAACCGTCGGAGTTCTCGGACGTGCGCACCGCGATTGCACCTGGACTCAGCAACACCAGCTGCCCTGAGTCTCCCCAGTGACCCCGGCAGCATGAAAAAAAGCCTCATACTAGGGCGAAGGTAGGCTCATCCAACCCCACATCCCCCGTTAGGTCACACCTGAAGACCCAGCGACGAAAGAGGGTTTAGGGTGGCACCAAAACCCCTGCCACCCTATCGCCCTGCCAGCCCTCACCCCCCACCCACGCAGCGAAAGCAGAAGGGCCTCCACCAAGCAGGAGCGACGCGGCGGCAGAGCAGGAACACAACACCACCGCGTGCTAGGCTGCTGTGGGTGGCGGGCGGGTTCAGCGAGCTCGTACAACCCCCTGCAATCGATAGTTAGTATAGTCTAAAACTGCGGAGTTCCCCGATCGCACGACGCCTTCGCCCACTTACGATAACAAAATAAATAAATATCACAAACTTAACACTCTCCAACTATAGTTCGGAGGCTCACCTCTCGCACAGTGTGCACATGATACAAAGGTTTGCTGACACGACGCGCACACGGCCGAGAGAAGAAACACGTACACGCGCACACACACACACACCAGCGAGCGAGGAGCGACGCGCACCACACGTCCGCTCACCACCACG